GCCTGCCACAACACCTAGTTATTTTTTGGTTGCAGCCGTCATTGTTGATTGGCGCGCCCAGGCTGGATTCGAACCCGCCAGCTCAGGTGTATGTAGCTGGCGCCTTAGCCGCTTGAGCCACAGGCGCTGAGCCACCATCTCTGCTTTTTAAGCGAACATTTGTTTATCAAAGTTTGATGGAATTATTGACATGATTGGATTTTGAGCTGCCATTTTAAAATGACTTCTACTTACTTTTTTTATTTCCTCTGTTCCTAATTTCCTGCTTTGGGGGGGTTATTTGAATATTTTTTTGAATTCTATTTAATTTCTCTTTAGCCTTTTATCTGTATTTCTTGGCATTATTAAGTAGTTACCCGAGTGGTTATAATATACATCTTTAACTTTTCATAGTCTATTTAGTTATTGTTGTACCAACTCAGGTAAAATATAGAAATCTGGTTACTGTGTAGGTTTATAGTCCTCCGTCCATCTTTTATGTTATAGGTACAAATATTACACCTATAATATAAGCCCTATGATTGTAATTTCTGATTTAAACAATTACTTGGTTTAGGAAGAAGTTTAGAGGAAAAAACCCAAAAAGATAAAAACTAGTTTTTTTGTATTCACACCAGTATTTATTATTTCTATTATTCTTAATTTGTTTCTGAGGATCTGAGACTCTTTCTCATATCATATCCATTCAAACAGAATTTTCTTTCAGAACTTAAAAGGTGTTCCACATTCTTGTGGCCCCGTGGTTTCTGCTCAGAAGGCGTGTTGGAATCAGGTAGCATTTCCGTGTGTGGGATGTGTCATTCTCCTCTAGCTGCTCTTTATTGTTGGTTCTCAGCATTTTGGCTATCACGCGTCTCAGAGTGAACTTTTCCGCAGTTATTCTGGCAGTCGCTGGGTTATGAACCAGACAGGTTCTGTAGGTGTGTTCTTAAGTTGAATTTGTATGTAAGCTGGGACAGTGCATTTACCTATTATCTGTAGTAGCCTCCATCCTTAAGTGCAAGTTGTATGTAAGTTGGAATTTTGTAACTCAAGGACTGCCTATAATTAAATTTTTCTCTTTCACCAGATTTGGGAATTGTTTACCCATGATTTCTACCTCATTCATTTTCTTCTCTCCTTCTGGGATTCCATACAAACATCTGTTGAATTGTCTGATACTATCTAATACATTAGGTCTCTGACATTCCAGTTCATTTTTTTTGTTTTTTTGAGACAGAGCCTCAAGCTGTCCCCCTGGGTAGAGTGCTGTGGCATCACAGCTCACAGCAACCTCCAACTCCTGGGCTCAGGCGAGTCTCCTGCCTCAGCTTCCCAAGTAGCTGGGACCACAGGTGCCCACCACAACACCCGGCTATTTTTTGGTTGCAGCCGTCATTGCCGTTTTGGTGGGTCCGGGCTGGATTAGAACCCACCGCCTTAGGTGTATGTGGCTGGCGCCTTAGCCACTTGAGCCACAGGCGCTGAGCCTCTGGTCAATTTTTAAATCTTTTTTTCTCTCATAACATTGTATGATCTCTGTTGATCTTCAAGTTCACTTTGCTTTTATCATCACCTTTTGGCAATTAAGTTCATTGAATAAATATTTCAAATATTATCTTTTTCTGTTTCAGAATTTTCATTTGTTTCTCTTTTTAGTGTTCTACTTTCTTTGCTGAGATTTCTTATCTTTTTATTCTTTGTGGAGAGAATAGGTGCTTTAAAATTCTGATTGGCTGGTTGCAACATCTGATTCATTTTAGACTTGCACTAAGTTAATTTTCTTTTCTTTTGAGAGGCACTAGTTCTGGTTGCTTCCAGGCAGTGCATTCCCCAAATCAGACATACATACAAGGTATCCATAAAGTTTGTGTGCAGTTTAACATCGCACACTATTTTTAAATTGCATACAAACTTTATGGCCACTCAATATTGTTACTTGCTAAAGCAAAATAAACAAATAACAACAGAAAAACCCAGTTACTATTCATCAAAGAATAGCAACCATCTAAAAGCATCCCAGCCTAACATTCATGATGATAGGATACAATCTAAAATTCTCCAGCATACTAACACTCAGGAAAAAGTTTTGGTGGGGGAAGCAGAGAGTTTGGTCCCCCTTCAGATATTTTTTCTTTAGCTGATCTGCTTTGAATCTGTTCTGTATATATGTTGTTCAGGGGTCAGTGAGAGATGTGAGAATACAGAATTTGAGAATTCCCTCCCTGTCTTTTTTCTTTCTGTGAGCACCTACCTCTTCAGCAGCCAAAGATTCCTCAGTTTCAGTTTTCTGGTTCTCCTGGCCAGAAATGCTGCTTTTGCCCACCACTTGATACACGCTGTGTGTGCTGCGCTATCCCCAGGCTTAGAGCCCCAGAGATGGGCTCTAACTCCGCTCTTCTCCTCCTGTGTATATTTGCTACAAGAACGTACCAACTTTTCTCTTCATTCTTCACTGCCTTCATGTATTTTTTTGTTTTTTTTGAGACAGAGCCTCAAGCTGTCACCCTGGGTAGAGTGCTGTGGCATTACAGCTCACAGCAACCTCCAACTCCTGGGCTCAAGCGAGTC